TAACGTGGTGTGGTTGATAATCCCAGTCCTTTCAGGTAAGCAAATTCTCATACAATTAGGTGCAGACTACCCACGAGTTTAGACATCTTCAGCTTCTGAAATAAAGAGCTATGAGATCAAACTGTTTGCTTAGCAAAAGAAGCAGCAGCAAATGTCTTTGAGTTGTCAGAATAGCACTGCACAGCAAGTTGAGAACGTTACAAACAATGTAGAGAAGCTCTTGACAATAATACAGCATGTAATGAAACTGGGACTATTAATATGGCAATAAACTTTGAAGTGTATGCTGGTATCATCACAGTGCCAAATGAAAGACACCAAAGGTTGGATATTGAGGTGTGACCTGTGTATATAAAGATGCTCTATTTGACTTCATAGAGCTGTCAGGAAACTTCAGCATTATAGACATTGTAGTAGTGTGGTTGATAGCATACTCACCTTATGATAAACCATTCCTAACAGACCTAGAAAGTTCAACTTTTTCAGGAACTTCTAATTATAGAACTTGTATATATTATGTTTATTTTATCAGTAAAGTTTGTATGTGAGACTCCAGTAGCTAATACAGTCCCCTCCTCATACATTTTGATACTGGAAACATACTTTTATTATTATTATTTTTGCCTTTATTGAAGTGATTTATTCAAAAAGATACTTTTCATATTTAAAATCAACCCCATTTCTATTTGATACTTATTTTGACAGTGTATATTAATCATTTAAAAATTCCATATTAATCCAGTCCACCACATGTGGAATCCTTATGGACCATCCTGGGTTACTCAAGATCCAGCCATTCTCTCCTCAGGAAGTATTGCAGACTGTGAGTGTTACTCATTCTGTTGTGATTATTACTGTAACCAACAAACTTTAATAGATATGTTTTTCTTCTGTGCTGGTGATCTTATTAGTATAGCTATTTGTTGTCACATCATGTAATCTGAATAATTGCCAATGAAATTCAATCTTGAAAATAGTTATAGCCAATAGATGAAAATGATTGGATAGAAGACATTCTAATCTATCTATCTATCTGAATATAAAGTTATTTCAGCATTAATTTGTGGTTTGTCTACATATATTTGTCTACCCAGAATCCAGTAGGTTTGAACAAAGGATTCTAATGCAAAATTTACAATACTTAAGAACATACCCCAAATCTGGGAATATTTTCTAATTTCTTTTGATGTACTTTTAGTTTCTGAAAGTCGTGTAAAATTATATATCCTTGAAGCCTAGAAGAATTTTCTATGATGAGACATATTGCGAGTTTTGTAAGGCTTAGCATGTACAGTAAGTAATGGCAAACTATTTGGATGATTGAAATCCTTTTTATTAAATATTGTTAAGTTAGTTTATCATATTCAGATAACTGAAAAATAGAAACTATGTTGAAAATAAACATTTGATCTTGACTAAGAATATTATTGGCAAAATCATGATACAGTAGCTGACAGAGGTAATGTAATTTGAAAGGTTAAATTATAGTTCATAAACAAATCTTTTATTAGTTTTGTTATCACTCTACAAAGTATAATATATTAATGAATGCCAAGTTAAAACTGATTGATATATAAAATAAATTTCTGGTGAAAAAATAATTTTTTTTTACAATCTAAAAATGATAGAAACATGAGCTCAAATTATCCACTTTTTTTTAAAGCAGACACTAGATACTATTTTGTAGTACAGTGAGAAGGGGGGTGGGGATATTACTGATACCCTTTGCTATAGAAAGGGTTAATCAAAGAAGTTTAGATTAAGAAGTTGTAGATGTTCCAATGAAGAAATTTGCATCATGTGCATAAAAAGAATTTGAGTAATGTTACATAAATAACCATTGCTTTATGATGGTTGAGAAAACAAATGCTGCAATTGATTTATAATTTGTGTTCCCGAGTTAGGACTATTTTTTAGATAATAAATGTTTTCACTGACAATAGACAAACTGTAAGATAAGCTCTGCCATGGTTTTTTTAAAATACAAGTGTAAACTAATTACATTTCCCAAATTGAAAAGATGCTAAGCAAATATTGTTTTTGTATGATTTATCCATTATAAACAACAGTAAAAAAATTACTTCTAGAAATTTACTAGTTCAAGTTAACCAAATGTGAAAACAATCTTTAAATATGCTGAAAAAATAAGATTTTTCAAATATAAATGTTCAAAGGAAAATGTCCAAACTAAAACAAATATTTTAATCTTGTAGTATTTTAGTTATTTAGGTAACCTACTCTATCCACTAAAATAGCACATATATCACACCTAATATTTTATTCATTTACTTGTACAAAACATTAATCAGTTCTCAGCTCACTTTTCACACATACTTAAATATCTCCAATTTAAGCTAGCAGATATTCACTACTGTGTTTAGTTCTTTAATACTGACTGTTTTTCATTAGTTCTGTGTGTAGAGCTGTTTGTATGATCTCAAGCAAATAATTTTTTGTTTTAATATCTAACCAGTAATGATGTATGTTAAGAAAATTTTAACATATTGGAAATTTTTTACACAATGTATGCTGTAATAATAATAATAGCAATTAATTTTGATGTTATATTACTTAACAGTATGTGAAACATCTGTTAGAATTTCCCTTTTTGATTTGTTGTAAATTTAAATGGCTATGTTGCTAAAAGTAATGATTTAATTGTGATCTTACCCTTCTAGCCATATCTTCAAGTTCAACATTCTGCTTTCACACTCATCTGAAAAATGTTCTTGTGGCTGGGTCAGTAGCTTTTTATCAGATGAGCTTCAATCTTGAATTACAGTAATGGGTTCTGTATGAATTTTCAGACTGTAATGCCCCTCTTGGGGCGAGCTGTCCATCTTGAGTCACAATGGAGTGCTCTGTACGAGTTTACTCACTGTAGTGTTTTTCCTGAGTTGCGCTCCAATTCTGAGTCAGTGGTGTATGAGTTTACTGACTGTAAGGCCCTTTGAGGATTGAGCTCTAATTATGAGTCACAGTAGTGGGCTCTGTACAAGTGTACTGACTGAAGAGCCCCCCTTCTGTGATGAGTTCTGATAACCAGTAACTAATTTTTGACTTTTATTATTTTATTTGTAATAGCAGATGTACCTACACCTCACATGCATTTGATTTTGGTGGCTTCATTGGGATGGTGTGTGTGTGTCTTTTGACATGCAGCAAAGATACTGCAATATTAACTGTCACATTAATTTTGGTGTCTGCTTCAAGTGATAAAAAAAATTAAAATGGCTCTCAAACTTTAATTGATTGCTTATCCATTTAAACTGTCTTTAGGGCAACCTTGAATTCCTCTACTGGATACCAAGATTCATCAAATTGGGATTGACTTAATCAATTTGTCACAACTTGCGACGTCAAGACTAGAACGGTGTGCGAATGTTGCTTGTGATAGCCAATCTTCAGAGGAAGCCCATTAAAAGGTTTTGGAGATACCACAGACACAGTATTATTGGTAATGAATATTAAACTCGCAAGTTTTCCCTAGTTGATATATATTACAGTAAAGAGAGAGAGAGACACACACACACACACACACACACACACACACACACACACACACACACACACACAAAATTGATAGTTTAAGAAACACAGAAGTTCACTGAATGAAAAGTAAAAATTGTCAACCCTTCTTGTTCTTAGGTCGTTCAGACAGTCCTCCACATTGGACAAAGTCACTTCATCAGCTAACTACAGAAGGAGGAACAATGAATAATTATAACCATCACATGCCGTTCCCTATGCCCTTTGCCTACAGAGGTAGGTACTGATAATAAAGCATTTTGTAAGGTAGATTTTTTCTTATTTGTTCACTTGAAGTCTGTGCCACACATTCAATTTAGAATAACCTACATTTTTTTTTTTTTTCAACACGTTCACGATTAGTCAAAGATTTGGGTCTGATTGGAATAAACAATTACATCTTGGGTATAGTATGCAGGGACTGTTCTCTTTCTCCTTAACAACATCTGTTGGTATGTGATATTATAGAAGCAACGACGTTTTACTAGAGGTGGCTTAGTGTGTTCTAAATGTTGTATAATTAAAGTGGTGTATATATTGATAATTTGATAATAAGAGTAATGATGTGACTGATAATTCCTTGGTTTATTTTTGTTTTTGTTAATCACCAGTTATACCTCCGCTCTGATTATTGGTAATATTGTTTCATTAAATGTGCAGCATGTTTTTGTTGTTTGTTTTGTTGTTTTTTTGCTTTAATAACATAATAATTCTCACTAGGCCTAATCTTTATAACCTGTACCTTAACCTAATATTTGTAAGACTGTATAGAATGAGGGACAGTTACTGCATGAGACCATTATTCTGTTGTATAGCAACACAGTGGCAAGGCATCCCCCAGTCTCCCCCACCTGGTTTCAGTCCACCCTTTCAGCCCTCTTTGAAATCAACAGAACCCCAGACACTTGCTGAACGTGAGTCTACCTACGTTTTGAATTTTGTTTGGCATCACTGTTATTTCAACTTGTATAATTTTTTTTAAGTTGCATTGTTCAGTTGTTTTAATTTTAAATTTTATTTCAAACATTGTAACATAATAATTTGAACTAAATGATTAAAGAATATGTTCCAGACTTGACTGTCTATAAGACTTCTGGGGTACAAGTAAGACAAACCACCCAGATATATTAAAATCTTAAAGAATTGATGATTGAACAAAGTATACATATTTGATAGACTGGTATTAAAGTGAATGTGCTGACTAGTTTAGTAACTAAGCTTGAATTACTCAGTTCTTTATTACTCTTCCAATCTGCCCTCAAAGATGAAACACTTGGACAGTTCTTTGACAAGATCAGGATATGGTTTGTTTATTAAAACAGTAAAGATTCTAATGATTAGTAAGTTTCTCAAAATAACTTTTAGTGTTTGCTTTAACCAACAGTATTTTTTGTTGTATCTCGTATTGCTTGATATATGTGTGTGAATCTTCTTCAGGTTTATTTTATTACAAATCGGCTTTAAACTCTGGTACTGATAGGAATAAATAGCTTCTGTTTAAATTTTGTCCCTTAGTAGAACTTTAAAAGTCTACTTGCCTTACAATTCAACTGTTTTTAAAGAACTTCCAGCATAGCACTACCATTGATAATTTTCTTTGCTTGAAATGCTGTAAGTTTAGGTTAAAATTTACCATGGAAGAAAAAAACAAACTGAATTACACTGTTTAACTTTATTATTGAGGAGAAAACTTTTGAATATTTCTACGCTGTTATGTAGTGATACTCTATGACTGCTGGGAATTTTTGCCTAGTGTGAAATAAGATACAAGTTCCCCTATTACATTCAATACCATCTGATTTTGCTTCCTAATAAAGCTATCTATTTTATAAATGTCTGTTCATAGTTATGTATTCTACCCTTAGGCTTATATATACTACTACCACCCCTTTAAATAAATAAATACAAAAAGTAATGGATGCTTTAAATATTATTCACTGAAACTGTTACAATAAACTATGAAATTACTACAGGATATTTAGTTGCATTAAGGTAGTAGAGGGACAGCTTTAAACAAAACTTGTTTAACAAATGTTAATAACTAAATTTACTGCATCTAATTAAAATCTGTGGCTGTTTCTTTTATAGTTTACCATTTTATGTTGCTGAACTTAAGGTTTTTACATTTTACAGATAGTAAATTTCATTGTTGGGTCAATCTGCATTGATATATA